TTTAAGTGCAGGTTCACTTCAAATTGCAAGTCCTAAGCGACTTAACTAGTATTTGAGGAATTGATAGATGCTGCTAATCGGAGACACTTAATGTTGGTTAAATATCCATCTGGAACTCCAAGGAGGAGATTTCTACAGAATATGAACCGGCCTTTCCTCCACTCATCAGTGTTTCTGCTGCTGCATTTCATACAATGTAAAATAAAAGAAACATCTCCCCTGCAAGTTATTTATTCTGACAGCTAGCGCCCGGAGCTGTCAGAATACCTGAACAGCGATTGCAGCTAATTTCCTGCAGTCAATGTTTGGCCGACAATTTTCCCCCACGGCTCCTTCGGCAAAAGTTGACTGGAAAACTGTCTTTTGTTAGGCCGGGTGGTGTGAGCATGGCCACCCATGGATCAAATTGTGGACGACATAGCAGGAAACAGCTAATATTTGAAACAACTATGGCCAGCTTTAAGGTCAATATACACGTTACAATCTGGTCATCCAATCGACTTTAAAATTACCTGATCAAAGTCATATGAGGACCTACCTAATCTATGCAATCAATTTGTATCCAATCAGGCAGGCCCTTGCTCTATAGAGTTGACGCACGGTTGCTGGTGTGAATTGCCAGGCACGGGGTTGATGAGCCCATCCTGGAACATTGCACTGTTTGCCTTTCTTTTCAGTTTTTTCTTAAGTTCTATGGGCACAGTGCGCTGAGATCCAGTTGTACGTTGTTCCACCAAGCTGCGCTGAAAAACTGCGCTGCAGTAATGTTTTTTTAGCACACAACCCCACAGCATTGTGGTGTGAACTGAGCCTATTTGAAACAAGCAAATTGCCCTGTCTAGCATGGGCGCCAACGCAAATCAGCCCTAAAGGGTTCTGATCAGGTGGATCTGCTCGGATGCCCAATGTTAGTCTATGGGCAGCTGGATCTAAACCAGTGGTTCTCAACCTGTGTAACCTCAGGACCCACATCTGTCCTTGGTCATTAAGTCGCACTGCAATGGAACGCACAGCATTGCAGTACCATGCTTTCCTGTGTGGGCGATCGAACTGTGGGTGGGTGGTGCGCTTGGGGTGCCATTCAAAAGATCCATCCAGTCTCCATACCTTACGAGAACTAGAGTGGATCCTCAGCCGGGGGTCCATTGTGGGCGGCCGTGCTATGACAGAGCTCCATCCGTATGTGCATTGCTTGTACAGCTCCCTTTGTGTGCCCTATAGAGGTGCAGGGTGCCAGAATGTATCACTCTGGCCAGGCACCTCTATTGGCAAGTGAGGAAGCTGTACGTATGGATGGAGCTCCCTCACGGCTATAGCCCCAGCCCATCCCACCTCAGCCTGACACTCAGCACTGGGCAGCATATTTTGAATGGCTATTTGGCTCAAGAACTGGCAGTGCTGCAAAAGGGGGAGGCTGAGGAAGGCACGCGGCGACCCACTGAACATTGGGTCGCGACCCACCAGTTGAGAACCTAGGATCTAAACAGATATGCGTCCGTATACATAAGGCTGCCCCCGGCTCCGGCCAGGTCCGGAAAAACAAATGGATCAGAGTTCCGTTTTGCCGGACGTGATCATGCTGGATCAGGGGGAAATCTGATGTAAGCAGACACATGTTCATTTACATCTATATTCCCATAGACCAACATGGAATCTAGTACATCATAGCGGTGACATCCATTCCAAACTGCTCCGATCAGGAGGGGATCTGTGCACAGATCGGGTCATGTGAAAGGGGACTTAAAAAGGAGAACTATGGGGTTAAGGATTTTCCCCATAGTTCTCCTTAGGGTAACTGGAGGACACAAACTAGCGTTCTCCCGTCACCCTCGGCTCAGTATACCGCGAGCTGTAGCTCGCGGTATACTGAGACGCCGCAGTATACCGCAAGCTGCTACTCGCGGAATACTGAGATGCCGCAGCTGAAGCGGATCCCGACAATTGGCAGAGCCAGCTGTCCCCACCCCCTCCCCCGTCCGCTCCGCCAGTCAGCGCTGGAGGATCGGAGCGGGGAGCGGGGAATCCAGCCCCTCCCCCTGTCACGGCAGAGAGCCGTGACAGGATCGAGAGGTGAGCGAACGCCGGTATGTGTTCGCTCACTTCCCGATCTACTGAGCCGACCTGTGACAGTCTCATTGTCACAGGTCGGCAAGAACTATGAGGTGAGTGAAAAGCACTCATCTCATAGTTCTCCTTTAAAGAGATCATAGATTAACATGTGGTGAGTTTTGGAATTACTGAACATTAGAAGTTGCAAGGAAAACTTTGTCAAAGAGCTTGCAATTAACTTTTGCCAACCCCTGAGAACTCCAATGACAGCTATAGAAAGTTGCACCACCAGCCGGGGTACAAGGATCTGAACATAATAGTGCAGCCATGCAGACATGATGTGACACACACCAGGGACACGAGACAAATCCATTCTCTCCCTGGAGGCGCTCAGACATGACGCCATATGCCTGCTCTTTTATACCCAGCATCTGACAGACACATCAGGCATACAATGTGCCAGCAGTGACTTCACTCTTCACAGTGTAATGCACACTGCAAATCTGCACTGTCACAACAGACAAAAGGGCTGCAGAACAAGGACACGCAGTGTGTGACCCCGGAGTATTCCCCCTACCTGCAGGTCACTTCTCTCAGGGCAGGAGAAGGCCAAGTGTAGAGCCACGGCCGCTAGGTCAAGGCTAAGCAATTCCCAAGAGCCGGATTAAATCGGCATGAATAACAGTGACCCCAGGTGACTGACTTTATTAAAAGGAAACCTATGAAGAGAGAGGCTGCCGTTACCAATGTCTTTCTGGAAATGCTAGGTGCCTGGCTGCCTCTGACTTCTATGCTTTATGAGTTAGTGACCTGGAACAAGCAGGCAGATGAGAGAGTCAGAACTCCTGATCTGCACGCCTATTCCGGGTCACTGATTCAGAAAGTCCTGAATGGTAAGCAGGTAACTAGCATTTTCAGAAAGTAAAGTTAGCAATGGCGACTTCCGTACTACAAGTTTCCTTTAAAGCCTTTTCAAACAATAAAAGTATGTTCACTTGTGAGGCAACTGACAAGTAACATGCATGGGGTGTACATTGCAGATAGAAAATAACTGGTCCCTGTTCATACAATATGTGTTCGGTGGCGTGCAGAAAAAAACGCAGCTCAATGGACATGAACAAGAACCTAAAGAGAACCTGTCAGGACAAAATGGGAGAGTTTTAAAAAGGTGCTGGCTCCAGAGCCATCATACTGATCCTTACTTCACTGGTGACCGAGAACAAACACCGTGTGGGCACCTAATACACTGGCCAATGATCTAAGTAAGAGGGCCACAAAGTAGTGACAGAAGGATCGGGATAATAGTTCTGGAGTCTACAAATGTAAAGTGAAGTCACTGGACAGCTTTCCGATTCATGTCCTGAGAAGGTCAGACCTCCATTGCCCTCCTCTGACTTTGCGAACCCCTTACTAATAACGGGTCAGTGTATCGGGCCCGTGTCACCTCCCCAAATCCGGGGTCAGGACATTGATGGCAGTGAACAGAAAGGAATCAGAATGTGGTCAGCTATCAATAAAGCTTTCTGCACCCTCATACTGCTCACAGGGGTCACCAAGAATGGGGCAACCATGACAGTATAGTACCAGGTGCCCCGTTCATGACACACTCCCAAAGAAAAAGCTTGTGCACGCTCCTCCAGCACTTCATACATGTACACGTACATATGGAGACGTCACAAAGCACTTTCTGCTAATGACATTGTGTGTTGTTGCCGCAGCCACGGCCCCCAACTTCGCAGCTAAAGTCCCCAACCCTACAGCCGCAATCACCAGCTCCACAGCCAAAGTCCACAGATGCAGTCCCCAACCCTACAGCCAAAGTCCCCGACTTCACAGCCAAAGTCTCTGGCTCCACAGCCGCAGTCACCAGCTTCACAGCCACCAACTTCGCAGCTGCAGCCCCCCGTTCCACAGTTAGAGTCCCCCAACCCTAGAGCCAAAGTCCCCGGGTTCACAGCTGCAGTGACCAGCTCCACAGCCGCAGTCCCCGGCTCCACTGCTGCAGTCACCAGCTCCGCGCCCCCAACGCTGCAGCCAGAGTCTGGTGCTCCACAGCCACAGCCCCCAACTTCACAGCCACCAGCTCCACAGCCAAAGTCCCCAACTTCCACAGCCGCAATGACCAGCTCCACAGCCGCAGTCCCCAACCCTGGAGCCGAAGTCCGGGGCTCCACAGTCCCCAACTTTGCAGCCTCGGTCCCCGGCTCCACAGCCGCAGTTCTATAACACCCCTGAAATAAATGTTAAGGTAGCACAATGTCTTCTTATACACGTGATGCACTCATTCACTACTCATACGCAACTTAAAGAGACCTGTCAAAAATGCTGTGTGGCTGTCATCAGTGGCGGACATGGTCACCAATGGGCCCTTGTGTAAGATCTATTTCTGGGTCCCCCGGCACAAAACACTTATTTACTCTGGAGAAATTCATACAGATAAGCGTAGCCTTTTATACAATGAACTCTTTCATGGTCCAATATACAACTGGGGTCAGACAGTGAACACCGCACTCATTACAGCACTAGGGTAGTATATATGGGCCCCTAACTCCCGAGGGGCCCCTGAATGGTTAGTGGGCACCTGGATGTCACACTGATCACCTGGATTTATTAACCAGCAGCCAGTGAAGTCAGAAGACATGGTCTTGGGTCAGTAACCCAGAGGATCAGCATGACAGCCAGCAAGCTAGCAATGTCAAGTGTGTCAAAGGGTTTGTCATGACAGGTCCCTGCTGGTTCTCATGCCACTGTCAGCAGTGATTCCAGGGACAAGGCTCTGCAGGCTGGTAGTGCACAGCCCAGGGCCAGGCTGGATGTGGCTGAGGATCCATGCTGGAAGCATACAGGGCCACTCATGGATCAGGCCTATGACATGCCCGCAGAGGCCCAGGGGTAAGGGTCAGGCTCTGCGGATAGGAAGTGGGGTCGATGCCCAGGCAGGGCTGACTTACCTGGGGCACTGCAGTCGGCGCACACCTCGCCCCTCTGCACCTTCCGAGACATCCTCAGAGGGGAGGAGGGGATCACCTTCTGAGCCAGGGTGCTGTGTTCAGGCTGCACCAGTCCGGAGAATGTCCGGGGATCAGGGGAGAGGAGCGCACGTCCTCGCAGCCTCCTGTCTTCACTCACTTCTATTCGGCTGCCAGCGGGTCTGATCCCCCCTGTCTATGTGTCTCTATGCAGCTCACCCTGGGCTCAGTGCATCGGCTGCAGGAAACCGATCGAAGCCCTGCCCATCCAAAAGGAGGGGCCACATCCCAGGCTTCACCCCCCAGGGTATGGGAAAAGGAAATGGGAGACAGGAGGAGGAGGAGGAGGAGGGGGGAGGAGCTCTGCCACACTGCACCTTCCATGCAGGGCATGGACAGCTCCTGTCACCTCCATCACTTGTCAGCTGCTATGGGGACAGGGTCTGCCCATTAATAAGGAGAGGCTAGGGTGCCGTACATCATACATAAGGCCACATATACACAACAACACTCCTGTCTTTAGGTCACAGGTAGGCAACCTTGGCATTCCAGCTGTGGTGACACTACAAATCCCATCATGCCTTTGCCTTGGGGAGTCATGCCTGTGCCTGACAGAGTCTTGCAATGCCTCATGGGACTTGTAGTTCCACAACAGCTGGAGTGGCCAGGTTGCTTACCTCGGGTTTAGGTTATCTAAAAGCAGGTAAAAGTATAAACAAAGTTTATGGTGGGCAGAGCAAGTTCTCCTGTGTTCGAATGTACTTGAGTCTACATACATTCAGATGCATTCAGAGAGGGGAATTTATGAAAACTGGAGCAGTTGCCCATAGCAACCAATCAGCTTCTCTCTTTCATTTTCAGAGCTTAGCATAAACTATACAGAAAAGCTGGTTGCTATTGGCAACTCTTCCAGATTCTGTCTGATCCAGCCCTGATACATTTATTGAATTATTACAGGTATTGATATAGTGCCGACAATTTACGCAGCACTTTACATCAGTACCTGCCCTCAAGGAGCTTACAATCTAAGGTCCATATCTCACATACAGGGAAGTTTAGACAGGAGCCAATTAACCTTCCAGGATGCAGGGGTAGCCAAACTCCGGCCCTCCAGCTGTGGTGGAACTACAAATCCCATGAGGCATTGCAAGATTCTCACAGCCACAGACATGACTCCCAGAGAGAGAAGCATCATGGGATTTGTCGTTTCACCACAGCTGGAGGGCTGGGGTTTGTCTACCCCTGCAGACATGTCTTTGGAGTGTGGGAGGAAGCCCAGACAAGCAAAGGGAGAACATGCAAACTTCATGCAGACAGTGTCCTTGACCGATATTTGAACCGGGGACCCCCAGTGTTGCCCACATGCCCCATAGTGTCTACTCTGTCCCTGGACATTAGGAGTGGAATGTACTAAGGCTCCGTTGACATGTATGTGGTGACGCACCCCAATGCACCATTGCATGTGCGTTCTGTATTAATGGCACCCCAATGCACCATCGCATGTGCATTTTGTATTAATGGCACCCCAATGCACCATCGCATGTGCGTTCTATCACTGATTACAATGCAATGTGGTGCAATGTTTTCAGTGCAATGTAGCTGCCGTAAGCAGTCCATTCAAATGAATAAGACGCCAGACCACAGGGCACCCCGCAGCACCTCTGTGATGTCACATCTTGGTGTGAATGAGGGTTACGACCAGAGCAGACACAATCTGGAGCGCCTGGGTATGGCAACCAATCAGCTTCTAGCTTTATTTTCAAAGCTTAACTGAACAAAATGAAGATAGTAGCTGATTGGTTACTGTGCAGAGCTGCTCCTGATTCTGTCTGCACCCATTTTAGTAAATTCCCCCCACTTTTCTCTAAGGGCAGCTATACTGAATGCAAATAACCGCAGGCAGATTGCGTCCAGGGCTGGTCATCTGTCCCCAGTCACAGGCCCACGCTGGATGTGCAGATGCCTGCGAATAGCGGCAGACAGCTGCGGCTCCTGTCAGCCTGTCATTGTTTTGGCCACAGCTGTCTGGATCCATGTGTGATTCCTGCCACAAGAAATCCCCTTTGTTTACCAAAAGTTGACTTTCCAATTGACTTTTATGGAAGGAGGTGGTTCACAAATTCTCAGCTGAACAATGACTACAGCCAATCAGCTGTTCAGGTATTCTGACCACCGCTGATATGATTGATATGATAGCCCAGCGGGGGAGGGGGGGTGTCCCACCATCCGTGTTATTTAGCGGGGAAGGGAAGTTCTGCCATCCTTGCTGTTTAACAGAGATGGGGGGGGGGGGTTCCACCATCATTGTTATTTTGCGGGGAAGGGGGGGTTCTGCCATCCATGCTGTTTAACAGAGATGGGGGGGGGGGGTTCCACCATCATTGTTATTTTGCGGGGAAGGGGGGGTTCTGCCATCCATGCTGTTTAACAGAGATGGGGGGGGGGGGTTCCACCATCATTGTTATTTTGCGGGGAAGGGGGGGTTCTGCCATCCATGCTGTTTATCTTGGAGGCAGAGCCCATTATGTCACATGACGCCCTGCGTGTGTGGCGTTACTTGATGTCACCCGCATGTATGGGCGCCGACATCTTGGTGTATGACGCACGGCGTCATGTAGTGTAACGCACTCCGCTTCCAAGATGGCGGCGCACATGTGCAGAACGCGCCAGTGACTGATATGGCCACTATGTGTGCTGCTGTTTAAATGTGCAATTTTGGATTTGGAGGTTCGTTAAATACGAAACAGCATAATTATTTGTTTTGCAAAACGAAGTGAATGAAAATGTTTTTATTTTTCACTCGTTTCGTCCGAAACAAATTTTTGTGCTGTGCACATGTCTAGTAATCGCTGATAAATCATCTCAAAACACGCGTTTAGTGTTCTTATATGATTTTATATATTTCATTTTATACTTATTTCCACATGTCATGTGTGTGTTGTACTATTTGTATAATCCACGTGTAATGCTTCAATAAACATTGCTTTATTAAAAGAGAAAGGGGGGAAACCCCTGTTAGGTTTGTTTTTTGGTGTTTTTTGCATCTGTGGTCTACTGGGGAGACATCACTTCCTCTCTGGTAACCACAAGAGAAAGTTAGAGGATTCTCTCCAAAGTAAGACAAATCAGCTGTCACCGCAAAACGTTTCCCCATTGGAAGATTTCCCCATATTCCTGTGCTGGTGACAGCTCAAAATTGGATTTTCCCTTCACTTTAAAACCTTCACTAGAGAAAATATAGTGAATTTCCCCAGCGGGGGCAGGGGAGAGGGCACCTCCCTGAAATGATGGCTGGCAGATAGCAGGGAAGCTAATGCTTCCTCCGCTATCTGCTGGGTTTTTGTGGGCGTCAACAGCCGCCTTCAAAATAAATAAATAAAAAACAACAGATAGCAGGGGAATGAATAGCTAGCCTGCTATTGGCCATTTCAAATTGCAATAGCAGGCTGGCTATTGTACCCACCCACAGCTGCTGTCAATCAGCAAAGGAGGACCTGAAGGAGAACTTCGGCGGCCGTCAGACTACAAAATAAAAACAGATAGCAGGGAATGCCGGAAAGGTTTACTCTGCTGGATAGAGCCAAGTAAACCTTTCCGGGATAAAATGTTTCTCTCACGGGCATCAGGGAGCCGCTATCATATAAGGGGAGAGTCCCGTAACGTCTGGGTGAGTTGGGATGTCTGGATTACACTTGCTTGGTATTGGTTTTAATAGCAAACTTAAAGGGGAAGTTCACCTTTTCATAAAAAATTAAAACTCACAACCATTCTGCACTTAGCTGCTTAGATGACATGCTTTGCCACCCATGCCAGCCAGTGTAACAGGCCACACACTTCACTACACCACCGAGAAAGCTGTGTAACATCATACTGCAGGCAATGGTGAGCGGCCATTGGATAGCACGGACACGTGACCCCGTTGACCAATGGGAATCTCTTCTTTCTTCCAGGATGCCTTTGCAGAAGCAGGCTCAGAAGAGATCCTTTTTAGTCAGCGCGGTCACATGGCCATGCTAACTAATGGCTAAGGGGGCAACTTTTATAAGGGGCCCACTTCCAGAGGACTGCGGCAGCCCCATTTCTTTCTCACGTGCTTTTTTTTTTGTTTTTCAGCACTGCTGGCCCCTTAAATTACCTTAGGTGATTACCTGGAGGTTTCAGGCGGGGAATCTTGTCCTCGGAGAACATCTCGAACCTTCTTCAGGTCGCGCCCATCCATATATAAGGAGGTTCCGTGGATCATCATCAGTTGGCTGAATCACAGCACAGTAAGTTCCCTTCCCTCCTCCCTTTGCCGCAATCATTTTATGGGGTTTGTCACCTCATATTGTTGAGGGGGACTAATTGCATTGAAATGATTTGTTTAACGTATGCTTAATACAGTTATACAAATATTCAATACCAATAAAAGTGCTGCGTCCTTTCTTTGCCAATATATTTTTGTTGGTGTCTTTCTTTATTATGTTAAGTTTAATATGGGTTTTGCCTGCAGTCTGCGTGCCAGTGCCAGCATTATGATGTTACCCAGCCTCCAGGGCTGTGCTGTGAAGTTTGAAGCATGGGCTGTAACACTGGCTGGCATGGTAGATGACCATAACAGCAGCTATTTGACAATTATAGCCCAAAAAATTTACATACAACAGTATCTAACAGAAGTGAGTACACCCGTCACAAAGTGTCATTCACAGAAATGACACTTTGCTACAATGTAAAGTAGTGAGTGTACAGCTTGTATATCAGTGTACATTTGCTGTCCCCTCAAAATAACTCAACACACAGCCATTAAAGGAGAACTATGAGGTGAGTGAATTTCGCTCATCCTCATAGTTCTAGCCGACCTGTGACAATGAGACTGTCACAGGTCGCCTGAGTAGATCGTGAAGTGAGCGAACACATAACGGCGTTCGCTCACTTCTCGATCCTGTCACGGCAGAGAGCCGTGACAGGGGAGTGACCGGATTCCCCCCTCCGATCCTCCAGCGCTGACTGGCGGAACGGACCGGGGAGGGGGCGGGTACAGCTGGCTCTGCCTCTAAATAGGCAGAGCCAGCCATCACTCACGCAGACATAATTGTCGGCATCCGTTTCAGCTGCGGCGGTATACTGAGCTTAGGGTGACAGGAGGACACTGGTTGATGTCCTCCCGTTACCCTTAGGAGAACTGTGGGGAAAAGCCCTTACCCCATAGTTCTCCTTTAATGTC